CTCGGAGTCGGCGTGGATGAGCGTGGCGTGGTCATGCTTTTCTAAACTTTGAAAGTATGCAGAAACACAAATCTGCGCTCTGATACCACCTTCTTCACACCCCGCCTCACTACTAGCTTTGAAAAATCAGAGTAAAATTTTTGTTTTTATTTTCGAAAGAATGTGCGAGCTGGGTTTTCAAAAATACTGACTTATTGCGGGATGTGGCAGATAAAAACTTAAACTGAACTCGGGCTTGCCCGCAGACATAATAAAAACATGCAACCAGACTATCCGCTCGCGGATTATGGAATTATACATGCATAGTCTGTACTGTCTCGCACTGTCTAGAAAACTCGCTGGCGGAAGCATCCGAAATACGAATACATAACATGCGTACATAAACTGAATAAAATACACATGATCATAAATCTAGGACATAAAAATGCTGGTAAAATATGTCCGACTCTCATGACCACGCTGCGCCACATCTGTGCTCATCCGGCACGCTCGACTCCGTCTCCTGAAAAACACAATGGGGGCGTGAGCAAACCACTATGCTCCGCAAAGACCAGTACTGAACAAAACATCATCTATAATAACGTATCATGAAACATAAATATATAAGAGCTGAAACTGTAAACTGATCTCTGATGTCTGTTCTGATCTGTGGTCAAAAGACCCTCGGCCGTAGCCGCTCGTGTGCACACGCCGATGGGGTAGAAAGGGCCTCGCCCCTCCCAACGGTCATCAGGTGGGTATAAAGGCCTCGGCCACCCAACCCGGAACTAAACTGTCTCAAACATACCTCTGCCATGGTACAGATATTATCTATGATGTGACATCCAGTACATGACCCCCACCTGAAAAACTTGAAATCTGGTATGCAAGTGCGGAAGCTGGAGTAGCGGTCGGAGGCTCGACTCTCCTTAGGCTACATAAATATTTAAGCAAAATAATGCTAAGTATAATGCTCAGAATATTTAATTATATGCTAAAATGCTCGGACTTATCTACGCGATTAAACTGGACTGGACTGGCTCGGAAAAATACTGAAATTTCCGGAACTGGACTCGGATCAGAAATCACGAGTAAAAACTGACTCGAACCGCCGGTCGAACCGGCCGGTTCGCTGGCTGGCCGGACCGCCGGCTCGACTGGGCCGGGCGGTCGGGCTGGGTTCGGCTAGACCGGGCTCGGTCCCGTGCCGGGCCAGCTGGTGCCCGGGCACGGCGCTGGGCACGGCTGGTGCGACCGGGCTCGGTCCCTGGGGCCGCTGGACATGTCTTGGCGCGGACTGGCGCTGGTGGGCACGGCCAGGGGCTGCTGGCACGGCCCGGGCACGACTGGTGCCCCTCGGGTGCGCGCTGGGCACGGCCGAGGCTTGGCTGAAGCCCTGTCGTGCGGCTGGGCACGGACTGAGGGTTGCTGGGGCGCGCTGGCGTGCACTGGGCACGGTACGGCGCGGACTGGCACTGGTCAGGGGCTACGCGGGCGCTGCCGGGCGCCCTGGAGGGTTCTGGGCACGCGGGCGTGCTGCTGGGCACGTCCCGGGCCGGCTGGGCTAGGGCAGACGCGGGACAGACACGGGCAGAGGCCACACGGGCGCTACTGGCCGTCCCCGAGGTCACTGGGCTCTCGGGCGTGCTGCTGGACACGCCCCGAGGCCGACTGGGCTCAGCTGACCCTGCTCGGGTCAGCCCTGGACTTGGCACGAGGCTCTGGCACGAGACCTCATGCGCTGGGCTTGGCACGGACGCTGCCGGGCGTCCCTGGGCACGCGGGTGTGCTGCTGGGCACATCCCGGGCCAACTGCGTGCTCGGGCTTGGCACTGGCACGACCCGAGGTCGGCTACGCATGACACGCGAGGCCATGCGTGCACTGAGGCTGGGACAGCGCGGCCAGGCGCTGTCGGGGTTGCTTGGGCGCGACGGGCGCCACGACCCCGGGTACGACGCGGACAGGCACTGCGGGCGCGCTGTCGCGGACACTGGTGCCTCGCGCACGCTGGCGCGGGCACGGACTGGCACTGGGCCGGGCACTGGCGCGCTATGTGCGCGGGCAGTGACCAAGGCCGGCCCTTGCCGGACCTCCGGCAACATTTCCGGTGACATGCAACTCCAAACATCATGATATGGTAAAATAAGCATAAATATCACATAAAACACTAGTGGACCCCGGGTCCACATGCATGATACTCGGGAGGGCCTAAATGGCACGTACGAGCAACTTGGCCTCCGAACCAACATTCATAACTTACAAAACTACTCAGGGCCGAATGATATACATCACAAATGATGACTATAATGGCTAACACTTGGGTCATACCATGCATGCATGAGGATGGGCCTCGGGTGGCCAAAATAGCGTATTTTCATGAATGAATTGACCAAGGCAATGAACTCCATTTATTCTCAAATTTTTACAGCATCAATGGTATGATATTTAAGGGTGATTTAACCAACATTTTCGACTTTGGCATGCATGCAACTAAAATTTTATTTTTAAGGCCATTTAATTCAAAAATTCGTAAATCATATATAATGACATGCATGGCTCGGTTTCTCTTCATGAAAAATCTTAAAATATCATAAAATAATTAATGAACATAAAAATCCCGAGCTTACCTCGGTTAGAAATGGAGATAATGAACTAGGGCTCGAAATGTGGTTATGCACGGCTTTAGGGGTTGGCTTGGACTTAGGTTGTGATTTGCTCGTGCCAAACACCTCCAAGAGACTTAGAAAAATATAAGGTACACTTATATGGTGCTAAGCCTCGAGGGAATGTGCTTGGAAAAGGCTGAGGTGCGGTCCTCCTTCTTCCCCGGGGCTGCGCGCGCGAGGTAGGCACCAGCTGGGTTCTTCTCACTTTTCTGATTTTTCCCTAAGTATTTGCTCGAGGTATTGGGGGTCTAAGAACTTCCTTGCATCTTATAGAAGAGGTTTATATAGGATATGGGGCGGAACTTGCTATGTGAGGTCAAAGGGGACCAAAATGGTTGGGAATCTTTCTCTTTTCATGCACATGAGTAGAGGCTAGTCATGGGGAACAATGGCTGACTTAAATCACGGTTTGGGTGGAGATTCCTGGTGGTTTTACAGAGCTCAAACGTTTATTTAAGTGATCTGGTCAGCCTTGGTACAAAAGTGGGGGACAAGGACAAAATTTCTTGAATAAACAATGTTGTGCACATGCTTCACTTCATGCTAAACTCTAGTTGACTTTCCTTAACAATGCTTAGGGCCAATTAAGCTCATTTAGACCCTTATTAAGTGCCTAATACACGTATGAGTTGGGCCCTGAGCAAAGTGGGCCGAAAATAATGGTTTTGGGCCTTAGAAGTGGACCTGCCATTCCTGCCGCTGGGCTGCTGGGCGCGGCACTGGGCCTGGGCGCGGGCTGGCGCGAGGGCGCGGCCTGGGCTGCGCGGTCACGGGCTGGCGCGGGGACATGCTGGGCTGCTCTGGCAAGATGGGCTGCGCGAGTGTGGGGACCTTGGACCCAACCTAAGGACTTCTCTTGGTATCCCAACACTTAGAAAAGATTTGCAAAGTGATGTTAAGGCATGGGGACATGCCCTTGGGCTCGGTTTGGGCGTGCATGGCGCGACTAAGGCGCGGCTCGGGTCTCGGGCACGAGACTCGACTAGGGCTCGATATAAAAGATCAAGACTTATACTTTGATATTTTTATACACTTAGAAAAATATTCTAAGTATAAATTTACCAATACTTGGCCATGCTCGGAATTTACCTGGAAATCAACTCGGAACCCAACTAGGGTTCGGAGTCGATAAACTCTCGAATTGACATGCTATTATTTATCAACCCAAATTAATAGATTAATCTTAACTTAGACTTGATATAGAATTATTCAAAGAATAATTTATCATGTTTGAGCATTTAGCATAAATAATATAACTCGAAAATTTCTGAAACTTACGGATTTCACTTATAGTCGAGCAGTGAAACCGTTCTGAATATTATTACTGTTTTGGGACGTTACAGCCATTTTCAATGAAACTTTACCACATTATAGAATATCCAGAAATACACACATATACCAGATATCAGCCCTTAAACCTCATTTTAATCCAACCAAATAATGTTTACAAAAATTCAGCTATAACATGAAATTCCTAGTTCCCCAGTGAAACCTTCTAATTTTTACATGAAATTTTGACACAACCAACATGATATCGAAATAAAACAATCCACAAAATTTCACATCAACATTCATCAAACTAGATTTTATCTCTATTTTTCAAGATTCTGACCAGAACTTAAATTCAACAGTTCACATGTCTACATGAATAGATTTAATCTGAAAATTTAACACAACATACTTCAACAACAGAGGGGTCAACATATAAAATTTCAAGTAATTTGGCCAAGTATTCAATTCATCATGATTTTTACCAAATCCAGCAGCACGATCATTTTTAAAAATTCATAACTCAATGCATAGACCTCCAAATGACCCGAAATTTTCACTAACATGACAAGGACATCCCAAAATACCCAGCACTCCAGGGTTTCCATGAAAATAACTCATCTCCTTCAGTTTCAACAACAACATGAAGAGACAAACGTAATACGACATGTATACATAAACACAAAATATAACCATTTATCACAAGAGTCCAACCTCACCAATTAATACAAATATTCCAAGTAAGCTCAACAATCCAACACTCCATAGTTTCACAAGATTCAATAAACCACCAAAACATAGATATAATATACTAATAATATACATAATAATCGGTCCCAAATCGCATGACACGAATTCACAACAAAGACCAAAATCGCGCAAAGATAAAAGGTGGGATTCAAAATTTTACCCCACTACTCGAATACACGAAAGGAGGAGAACGAGTTAAAGCCCGAACATGGTCACTCGCGGCCTCGGGTGACAATCGACTCGCTGAATCCCGGGCACACTTAAACAACTGATCTCGGACAATGGTCAACTGTCCAAGGTGAGCGACAAAAACTCAACCGCTACTCTTGTCTTAGTTATGCCCCGCTGCTAACGACCTGATCTCTCGGCTCTCGAAAGGACTCGGGTGCGGATCTCCGGACAAAGCTTCGGTGTTGGAAAATAAGCGCGGTCAGCCGGCTACAGGTTTGCGTGAAAGGGCTGAAGTCGGAGGTCTTAGCCGCTGCCGGAGGACGGTGCTGAACAGAGCTTGATTGTGGGGTTTTCCTCCGCCACGAAGGTCTCACCTTCTCTGTTCGCCGGTACTACTCTCTCAGCCAAAGGTCGCCGTTGAAAGAAGGGTCGCCGGAATTGATCAGCCGCACGAAGGTTGGAAATCACGAGTTGATAGGCTGCTTTGCGTGGAGGTCACGGCGACTGCTTTGTGTAAAATCGGTTTACGTGATTAAACCGAAAATCGCCGAAACAATTTGAAATCCTCATCAATAAATCCTATTAATTCGACCGAAAAATAAATTTATATATATATATATATATATATATCACACAATAACATACATATATTCCATACAATAATATCACTTAGGCATTTAATTCAAAATAATAATAATTATGCCAATAAAAATATTCAAAAAATCTAATAATCGAACGGGGCCTTACAGTCTACCCACCTTACAAAGAATTCTGTCATCGGGATTCGAAAACAAACTACGATATGACACAATTGAGAAAAAGGGAAATCATGAAATTCGGGTACTTCCCCCGAATCTCGGTCTCCCTCTCCCAAGTCGCCTTGCCTTGATAACCCTCACTGGACTTTGACGAGTACCCCTCCCGGCCTTCCGCAAATGGACCCTCTGTTCCAATAGGTCACCGGTACTTCCATACAGGTAGGGTTCTGCCTATCACGCAGCTTGTCACAGTTCACATGAACCCTGAGATTACGCACACATTTCCTCCATCATGAGGCATAGAACGTGTCATGCATCCTCGCAAGCTTCGGTGGTGGTGTCAACCATCGGGCTAAGTCAACGACTTGGTCGAGAATCATAATAGGACTGAGGAAGCACGGTGTAACCAGAACTATGGCATACTCCTCCTCTAACCGTACCAGCCATCTCGCATGGTACCATTAGGTTTGTCGCTCGATAACCATCGTTACCAGCGTATCTCCCCATGGTAAGGAGTTTCTCACACCCTACTCATCCATCAATACACAAGACACTAACCGGTCCTATCGTGTCTCGATAGCATACTCCAACAGATTAACCATATAGGGTTGATTCGTAGCATCGAGCTTCAGTCTCGTGCCCGGGTCACACCTGAAAACTCGTTCATCACATCAACATGATCCGTGCATCCCTGAAAACAGGTCGCCATGGAATCCCATGCGAACGGCTAACAATCTTAAATATCACTATACCCTCAATACTGGTATCTTCAGAACACACAGCTCTGTTCGATACCGTTGACGATGCCTTATTCCTTGCCGACACGAGTAACAACTCGTATGTGGTTTAGGAAGTATCGACTAGATATTCAGAAACAATCTCCTATCGCAAAAACGGTCTCACAAATTAGGACGCTCGACATCCCCATACTAACGATCTAACTTCAATACTCACTCACTCACACTCTTCATAGATCTCAATCTCTACGAAGTGTACATAGTCTCATATCGAGACTCAAGACTCCGCCCAAACAAACGGAACTTCTATCTGGCCAACTCGAGAAAAATCTCGTGCATGGCGTATGAACTAATTGACAAGCCTCCCTTAATCATGAAACATTGATTAGGGAATTTGTACAATGCCTCGGTGGAACTTGGAGTCCTCGGTTTAGAGTTCGAGAGTAACGGTTCAAAAGGTCAACATACGATTTGACAAGGAATACTGGTTCAACGACCCAAAAGAACATAGTCGGTTCGGGGTTTAATGCATTGTCACCCGAGAGATGACACACACACTAGCGCTGCATAAGCGGGGCGCTGAGACGCGTGCGTGCACCTGGGGAGTTCCTGCGTTCGGTGATGGCGGCGGCAGCTCTCGTGCGAGTCAACGATCGGCCACTGCAGTTGGCCTCACGTCTCTCAACACGGGCGTGCGAGCTCGGCCACCACTTCGCGTGGCTATACCCAACCAGGTTCAACGTTCAGTTTGGGGTACAGTCAAGAAATTTTCTAATCCAGGGTTGTAATGCCGAAGGTAACCCGAAAGAAAAGGTTTTTCACAATACTTCCAAAACAATGGAATTTTAGATTTCAACAAAAACAATTCCCTCAGCATTTAGGTGTCAAACAATCTCGAAAGTTTCAAAGGTTTCAAATCATGACAAGACAATAAACCGAGTTCCAAGTTCATCACCCTTTTCCTAATCGATACAATAATCACCCGAATACTAACGATAGAAATAAGGGAAAAATTCCCAAATAGGTCAAACATCGGCTCTCCAGCCATGAATATTACTGACTAGTGGTCTTTACCTAACAACGAAATGGTAGCTCGCTCGACTTTTCCGACTAACAGCGTCAGGCTGTCACGTCAGCTCTAACTCATGTAGCTAAACGTGCCAACAGTCCTAAAACGAGTTCACTCTCACATACACTGCCTATCACTTCCACACTTCTAGATCTTAGCGTAAAACTTCTCTCGCAAGTGTTTTCAGTCAACAATACAACACCAACCAAATTAAGTTTATAATCATGCATTTGAAAAGTAAATTTTATTTTCGAAAGCACAACATGAATTTTTCAAAACATAACCCGCACAGAGATTTTAAAATAAACACAACTTGCAGCACATAAGTCACATAAACATGATTCCAATTGCATATGAACCCTAAGACATGCTTCTACAACTCTTATGAAGACATCAATAACAGATAAGGTCATCTAATAGGGAATAACTCATCAAACATTTATAACAAAGTTGCAATCAACAATTGAAATCATATAACTGATAGGACTTCAGTAATTGCGGGATAAATGAATCTACAGACATGCTTTTAATGAAATTCAAGAACCACATGGCAGATAACTCAATTATTTATAACATTGCTGAAGGCCACATTGACAAATAATGATGTTATCATTGATTTTAAACATAAAAATTTTGGTTCATAAAAACTGCAAGAAACCAACTCATGTTACAAACAACACCTCAGTAATTATCCTCTAATTCATGCTACAAACCTTCAAATGACAAGATTCAAAAATCAATAGACAGTCAAAAAGCAACGCTACAATTTTCATGAAGATAACGTTTCAGATTGAGCACATACAGACATCGAAAACATGCCAGACATACAATATATACTTGCTGCCAGCTTTTACCGAAAACTGCTTGCGCAATTATTTTGTAAAACTCATAACTCACTCAATTTAAATAGGATTTTCAAAATTTCAAAAATCACTGAAAGATAACAGGATAAGCTACAATTCATATGAAGATCACATCTTCATAAAACGAGTTCTTGAGGGCTATAACAAAGGCACAACAGACGCAGTAACATCGCATGATATCCCCAAAAACAACATTCTAAAACACCCAATCACAACATAACACATAATAACAAGGGAAGGGCTTAACGTCTAACATGCTTAAACACGATTTCAACACAAAACATCATGGACCAAACGTAACTCACATGAATTCATGTACACCATAAAACATGATTTCTAGCATATCATAACATAAGTTTCGACAGGAATTTCCAGCTTTTAACCAATCACATAAACATGCTTGGGCATCAATAAATCAAATAATCCTTCAATTATTACGACTTAAAGCTCAACACACATGCATCAGTCTTCATGACCTCTGCACAATTTTCGCATGAGATTTGGTAACCATTGCCCTTCTCGAGGCTTAGCCATCCTCGGGAGTTGCGACAGTGCTACACACTAGACTTCACTCTCAGTTTTCATTGACTGGGTCCTATGGTTACAGACTTCCGAATGACCCACACACCTGAGACTTCTTCGGTCGTCTGCTCCCTTCATTTAAGCCTTCTCTTTCAAGACGGCTTGCGAGTGGTCCTTACTCGAGGACACTGAACAGAATCTTTTAGCGAGAAGATGCTACAGACATAACTTAGCTTGATAACTACATACCGAAAACTCACAACGAGGAACCTCTAGAGTTAGAATTTAAATCTACATCACACAAGTTGAAGATTTAACATAGGATTTTCAAATCACTAAAGTTCATCATTGATCATAGGTGAATAGATGTTTCCTAAGCCCCAAATAACAACATGATATATATATATATATATATAACAATTCACATCACAAGTGGTTTCTTTGCTACTTATGTAAAACACATTTTCACATCATAAGTAATTTCATTATTACTTATGTAAAACGTACCTTTGAGCGGCTTGGCATGACAAAGACGAGTGGTCGAACACAAGGTCACCATAACATTAGTCACATAATTACATAAACATGTAATTCACACATAGAGCAGTCTACAGAAACGGAGACCTCGCTCTGATACCACATTGTAGAGCCCCACTTTGATTTTAAAGAAAATCCGGACTTTCCAAAAGTTCAATAGAATATTTTTCGAAAAACATTTTCAAAATCATGGGCATTATTCAACAATTACATAGATCAAGTCGTGTCTGATCTCACGGGGATTCATTACCCGATTTTTTACGTGGTTTTCATTAACCGATAATCAACAATTTTAACATGTTATTCGGCATCGTAACTCAGCATGAACAACTAATACTAACCTGATATTCAAAGAACACAGCAAAACATGAATATCCAAATAACCTGATACAGAACGAATGCAACATACGGGTTTTCAAAACAAACCATTTCCAACATTTTCAAAGCCAAACTTGAAATCGACTAACATGTCCAATAAACTCAAACATAAGTTCATAGAAAAACGGAAGCAAAAGCAATAATAAATAACCATCCACTCGTCTCTTTATTCGTCACGCCCGCAACCTGTCTAACCTGCATTCGTGAAAAAACAGGTGGGAGTGAGCACAAATGGAAACCTTAGTGCTCACCGCTATGCACATAAACAACATATGTAATGTTAAGAAGGTATGGTCGCAGCATGAACACAAAACATTAACATCCTGTCACATCTCCTGTTCACAACGTACCAATTAACTCACTCGTGTGCACATCTATCATTAGCCGCAGAAAGGGGCTGCATAAACCCTAGTGGTGGGAGTGCGTGCCACGCATCGAACACGGCCTTACATAGGGGCTTACGTACCTGACAAGGGTACGACCATATCAGGACTTAAGGAGATTGCCACACAAGGGCACCGTACTGTA